TCAACATGGGTAGTTCTCTAAATTCGGATCCCTTCTAGGGTCCTTCTTTTTATAAAGGTGCCGTACTAGAGTTGGGACCTAAGGAGGGGCCCTAATTTGGAGAACTACTCACATGATTTCATGTGCCTTCACTACCCCACGTAACCCCAAACTGAACCCCTAACCCTTAAACCCTAAAGGAGCATGCCAGCATTCTGTGCCATGATGTTCAGGGTAACTCCTTTGCCGCAGACTCTGCTGTACTTCGAGGATTCCTTCACAGAACTACAGATCTGGGCTTAGCTCAGAAGAACAGTGACTGCAATAGTGAGCGGTAGTAGTACCAACAATGCCACTTGTGGCCCTTGCAAACCCTACCCTTAAACCCAACAATGCCCGTCGTGGCCCTTGCAGACCCAACCCTAAACCCGAAACCGTCCTTCTTGCTTTCGGTTCTTTGAAATAACCTAGGAGAAAAAAGTAAACACTTCATGTCATAATGGTTCCTTGTAAGGAACAGGTCCAAAACGAGTACTCGAGTATGGTACACCAGAACCCAGTATATAGCCTAAACCCTGAACCCGAAACCGGTATTTCGGTTCTTTGGAGGGTCGTGCACTATTAAGCCAGGCGTCTCTCTTCCAGTAAGGGTTGGGCGTCCCTTCCGAAGAGATCCCACCACCTGCGGACTCGAGCGCAAGACTGCGCCAGATAGTTTTTTTAGGGTTTGGGGTTTCGACTTCATGTAGGTAAGTTGAACTTGCAAATATTCCGCAAATCAGAACCAGAAGTCCGTTACAGTGTAATTTGGGAGTTGTCTTATTTCATGCGCAGCCGCTTGCAAAACCACGGCTGCAGAGATCCTGCTTCTCTGCCCCTTCAAGACCAGGGTGTTGGTTCATGAGCTGTCAATCTTGCGGGATAACTCCAGGGTTTGAGGGGTCTTCAGGAACAAAGGGGCGGCTCGTGACCTGAAGCCAAACCCATCCCCAAACCCTGAACCCTAAGCCCTAAACCCTAAGCCCTAAGCCCCTAAGCCCGAAGCCCAAAGCCCCTAAGCCGTAAGCCCTAAGCCCTAAGCCCCTAAGCCCTAAACCCGAAACCCTAAGCCCTAAGCCCTAAACCCTAAGCCCTAAACCCTAAGCCCAAAGCCCCTAAGCCCTCAGCCCTAAGCCCTAAACTGCTGAAGACGTAAGAAGACCCAGAGGCTCAAGACCTAAGTGTGGTCTTCCAGCCAGGGAACTAGAACTCCAATTCCAGCCCTTGGGTTTAGGGTTTAGGGTCTAGGGTTTGGGGTTGGTTTAAGTTTAGGGTCTACGGTTTAGGGCTTGGTGCTTAAGAGGTTTAGGGTTTAGGGCTTAGGGTTGAAGTTTAGGGTCTAGAGTTTAGGGTTGGTTTAAGTTTAGGATCTAGGGTTTAGGGTAGTGGGGGGCTGTGGGGGTAAAGGTTCTGAAGCGCATCTTTAAACGGAAACGCGAGCTTTATACTGGAATCGGAATGCTTGAGCCGCACACGGGTAGTTCGCTAAATTAGGGTCCCTTTTTAGGTCCCCAATATAGTACGGCACCCTCATAAAAAAAGGACCCTACACGGGACCCTAATTTAGAGAACTACCTATGTAGACCTGACACCTCTTCCCACACGGCCTTCGAACTCGAACAGACGAGAAAACACTTCTCCAAACTGCCTTGTTCCCATGCAACCCCGAAGGCCTAGGACAGACGTGAAAACAACCTTCTATTGTCTACTATTGTCATTCTCATGTCCCCCCCCCCCAAAAAAAGTAAGCCCGAGAATAGCAGAAACGAAACCAAGGATCAAGGACATACCACATGTGGCCGGGACATCCCTACTTTATAATGTAGCTATATTGGTTCTGATGTTCTTAAAACCTCAGTATATCCAAACCGCGAAACCCCAAAACTCCCGCAGAAAGCCTAAACCCCATATATAAGCCATGTATCAAATATAGAACCCTTGTAGAACCCATATAACCCTCGCAGTACCATCCCTACCACCACATCGAGTCGATCGAAACCCATACAGAGATCGTAGAAAAAAAAACCTAAAAACCCCTCGCGCAAGCCTTCGCATAGAGACCCTGTGGAAAGCCTAAAAGCCCTCTACAAAACCCTAAAGCCTAAAGCCCCAAGCTTACATCCTCTAACTCCGAAGTCTTGGACCCTAAACCCCAACACCTATAAACCCTAAACCCTAAACAACAAATCCTAAACTGCTAAACTCTAAACCTTACCTGAACAACAAAACTTACACCCTAAACCCCAAGACCCTAAACTAAACAAAAAAACCCTAAAGCCCCTAAAGCCCCTCAACCCTATACCCAAAGGAGAAATCCCCCGGACATTAACTATGCAGCACTTAAATTAAGGAACCCCCATAACAGTATAGGTAATTGTTAAGGCCCCTATATTACCCAAAGGAGACCTCCCCCGGTGATGAAGCCCTGAACCCAAAACCCTGTTCCCTAAACCCTGAACTAAACCCTAAACTCAAAACCCAACACTCCCAAACCCTAAACCCAAAACCCCAAAACACTAAACCCAAAAAAAGACCTCCCCCGGTGATGAAGCAAGTGAGGCCGCCGAGCCATCCGGGCTCCCAGAGCTCCTCGTGCGGGCTTCTTGTGAGCGGTTTAGTTTTTTCTTTGATGGTTTAGGGTTTATTTTTTGGGTTTATTTTTTTTAAGGGTTTAGGGTTTAAGGGTTTAGCTTGTTTTTTTGGTTTAGGGTTTAGGTTGTTTTTGTTGGTTTAGGGTTTAGGGTTTAGGGATTGGGGGTTTAGGGGGTAGGGCTGAGGGTTGAGGGCTTTGGGGTTTGGGGTTTAGGCCTTGGAGTATCTTTATGAATGTTTAAGGTTGTGAAAGCTCGACAGGTGAAAGCCCGTTAAAGGGTCTTAGACGGGGCTGATAAGTAAAGGGCATAAGGTTCAGCATAAGGTCAATAAGGTCCAGGTTTTTGGGGTTGTCGGGTTTAGGGTTTCAGGTGTAGGGTTGAGGCTTGAGGGTCTAGAGTTGGGGTTGCGGGTTGAGTGATTGGTTTAGGGTTTAGGGGTTTAGGGGTTTAGGGGTTTAGGTTGTTCTTTTACTTTTGGTTTCGGGTTTAGGGTTCAGGGTTTAGGTTGGGTTGTTGAGGTTTAGCTTGAGCTTCTTGGGTTGTGGGCATTTCGGGGGCAAGGTACCTGCCCGACGACCACACGAGAATCAACAAGTAGGCAGTAAGTAGCAACACTGCTGCTACGCAGCTCATATAGTGTGCCGGCATCCTTGAAATGCACCCCACCCAAAACAGAGTGGAAATCCGTGCTCTGATGTGCTAACTCAGGCCCGCATTATAGCCCCTAGCCTAAAACCTAAAGTGTGTGGATTATTTTAAGTATGATTTTTTGCCATTCAACTGCGGCTGAACCAAGTTGCTCCTACCTAACTTGCTCCCTGCAGCTCCCCAAGCCTTCGACACCTTTCTTTTGTACCCTCCCCACATGGCTCCAGCGGCGTACTCTGCCAACCCGTAGCCCCTACTGTGGTTCGGTCCGCCGGCTTGGCTTCGCCCAGAACAGGAAGGCTCGAGCTTTAAACCCGAAGCTCAGCAAACTAAACTCGAAGCCAAAAAAACAAGGGTCTGCGGTTTAGGGTAAGAAAAACCCTCACCTTTGAAGCTCAACCCTAACCCCCCAAAGCCCCTGAAACTCGAATCCGAGTGCCTGATCGTGGCGGTGGCCGGTGACGAGCAAGTCGAGGCCGAGCCGGTTGTGCATGTCCATCCAGAAATTCCTTGCTTCAAGTGTCTAGGCTTCCCATTGTCTAGGGTTTAGGGTTTAGGGTTTAGGGTGATTCAGGGATGATTAGAGTTGCAGGCTCAAAAGGGCAAGGAGAAAGTCACCTTGCTGCAACGTCAGAGGTGTAGGGCCATCGCAAGAATACAGACATGTGAGTGTGACAATCAGAAGCTAAAAGATCAACAGAGCAATAGCATTCACACGCGCAAACCTCCGGTACAAACTAAAGCATATGTATGTACGTATGCACGTATGTGTGTATGGGATTAGGTATGCATGCATGTATGTATATGCACACTGTGTATAGATGTGTATGAAAAACCCTCTCTGTCTCTCGCCTGTACATACATACATACATACATACATACATACGTACATACATACATGTCTATACATCCAGACATACATCTGTATCCACATCTGGGATGCCAGGGCGTCTTGCCGGCAATTCTCCGTAATCAACAGAGACCCTTGACCCTTGGGCTGAGCTTTCAACATCTCTAACCCCTTAACCGCTAAACCCCCGAACTCCTAAACCCCCCCAACGGAACACGGAACAGAAACACGCTCTTATAATCAGGACGTCTGAGGAATAATACTGGCAATTGCTTAGGCCCCCGCTTGTATATAACTATCTCGTAATAAGGAACCCCTGAGGAATAACTTTGGTAATTATTTAGGCCGCTTGTGGTGGTTCTAGACAACAGAAACACAAAAGAAACACAGAGGAGCCCTGAGGAATAATGTTACTGACGGCTTAGATTACAGCCTTAATGCAACGCGCCAGGAGTTTCGAAGCCGGGGGGGCTGAGGGTCCTGCATTACAGGGATTCATAGAGTTTTGGGAGTGTTATTCAAGGCTTAATCTGATTTAGCGGAGTTTGATACACTGAAGTTAGAATCCCTTATCAAGAATCCACACTGCACTCAAGAATATTCGGTGCTCTCTGATTCTGATATATTCTGAATCTCTGGATCTTCCCTACAAGCCCCTTAGACTCATAGCAAATAATCTATAGTAGTTCGATAACTCTCTGTGAATATATTTTACTAAACATGACAGAAGCCTAAGGACAACCAAGAGGAAGCCTAAACTACCCAAACCCTAAACCCAAAACCCTAAACCCCAAAACCCTAAACCCCAAACCCCCAAACCCTAAACCCCGAGCCAAGGCACTTCTGGGTTCCGCAAGGGAAGTGCGTTACGGCGACCTGCCACTGCGCGGTCGACTGGGCGAGGAGAGAGGCCAACCAGCCCGACTGCTTGCCCCACAAGTCCCAGAACCTGTCGTGGTTTAGGGTTTAGGGTTTAGGATTTTAGGTTTTAGGGTTTAGGGTTTCGGATTTTAGGTTTTAGGGTTTAGGGTTTAGGGTTTAGAGTTTAGTATTTGGGATCTAGGGTCTTGGGGTTTAGGGTTCAGAGCCTCTCTTGACTCAGGATTCAGGGTTTAGGGCTCCAGGGGCGAAAGCAGCTGAGACTCTCAGCTGTTCTGGTGTTCGGTTTAGGGTTTAGGGTTTAGGGTTTTGTTTTTTTTGAACTCCTTTTTGCCGGCTGCAGATACATCCGAAAGGCCCAGGGGCCAGGAGGTTTAGGGTTTAGGGCCTGAGCCTCAAACACAGAGTTGCGAATTCGTGGTCAGCTTGCTTCTGAGACTGTAGTGGGCCCTAATAATCAGAATAGGGTTTTGGGGTATATTATACTATATTCATAATAAGGAACCCCCGAAATAGTATTGCTAATTATTTAGGCCCTATATTACGTGTCGATGGTAGGGCGGGTTGTCCCACACACGGTATAGGGTTTTGGGTTTAGGGTTCCGGGTTCAGGATCTGCTCATATAGTACCCCAAATAGTAGGATTCTTATTATAAGGACCCCAAAATAAGGTACTCCTTATTTTCGGAAACTCCCTTCTGGCTTGAAGCTGAGGGTCCTTCTGGGATTGAGACCTCGGGCTTTTGATCTCTAAACCCAACACCCCAAGCTCCAACTACCGTTCAAAACCTTAAACCGCGACCCTAAACCCTAAACCCTGAAAGCCCTAAACCCTAAACCCTGAAACCCTAAACCCTGAAGCCCTAAACCCTAAACCCCAAGCCCCATCAGATCAATCCAAGGAGCCACTGGTGGCAGGAGTTGACGTCGGCGGGGCCACCCGCGCTGGCACAGGTGGCACCCCAAGGGTTATGCTGATTGCCGCAGATGTTGTGGCTAGGCTCCTGGGATTCTTGGGCGTTTAGGGTAAGTTAGTTAAACCGGCTGAGGGTAAAGGGTTTCGGTACGGCGTAGGGTTTACGAGGATTTTGCTTTGGGCTCTGGGCGGCCGTTTAGGGTCTCATGCTGGATGGGGAGGAGGGGGGGGGGGGCTTAGCCATAGAGGATGTAGGGTAAACCGAGCCAAATCTAATTCGAGAACTAGCAGCGAACACTCAAACCCAAACCATTGAAGCCTTCAAGCCTTGAAGACTCCTGATATCCCTAAACCCTAAACCCTGTATTTTAAGACGGCAGGGCTCCTGCCACTGGTCCTTTCCATCCTCGTTGTTGGAGTCCACGACATAGATGTCCATCCAGAAGTTCCCTACTTCGAAGTACATCCTCGGGGCTTGTTATGTTACTACATCGGGATTTGGGGTTCTAGGGTTTAGGGTTTAGGGTTTAGGGGTTTAGGGGTTTAGGAGTTTAGGAGTTTAGGGGCTCAGGGTTTAGGGTTTTGCTGGTGTTCGGAGTTTGGAGTTTAGTTTAAGCATTTTTCCGGTTTCAGGCTTCTGCGCCCTGGAATTGCTCTGACACTGTACCTGCCAAACAAAATACACCTCCCTGGCGCACCTGAACTAAGCCGCGACCCAAAACCCCATACCCGAACCCGAAACCCTAAACCCTAAACCCTGAAACCCCAAGCCCTAAACCCCGAAACCACAAACCATAATTAAACCCTGAAGCCCCAATCCCCACACCCCAAACCCTAGAAGCCACAAACCTTACACCCTAAACCCTAAACCCCAAAGCCCAAACCCGCTAAACCCTATAGAACCTAAACCCTAAACCCCAAAGCACAAAGCCGAAACCCTAAACCCTACCCCAAACCCCGAACCCTAAACTCTAAACCCTAAGCCACAAACCCTAAACCCTAAACTCCGCAGACCCTAACAACCGAGGATCTTCAGGGTGTAGTATGCCGCCGGCAAGATCCAACGGTTGCTCTTCCACGTGTAGGCAAACCTAGTTGGGTTTAGGGTGTAGGGTTTTGGGGTTTAGGGGTTTAGGGTTTAAGGTTTAGGGGGTTGGGATGGTATCAAAAACTTAAATGGCCATTCCTTCCTGTAGTTCATGGTTAAGTTTCTATTCCTTCTTGAATTTTGAGTAGCCATTGAATTGAAGCACCCATAAAAATGTAAAATGTTAACCAACTATGACAAAGAAACTGCTGATCCCAGCCGTTGTTGAAGCGGCGGCCACCCCAGTCGTGGTTGCCCAGGCAGCTGATCCATGGAACGCCGTCCTTGGGCTTGATGATGCACGTGTGAGGATATGATGGAACCAACCTGAACCCTAAACCCTAAACCCTAAACCCCTAAACCCCCAAACCCTAAACCCTAAACCCCTAAACCCTAAACCCTAAAACCTAAACCCCCAAAACCCTAAACCTCATGCTATACATTCCAACCTGCCTGGCTTCCGTTTTGGGCGCTTTTAGGTTGAGTGTGTACTCACGGTGTTTACCTGGAGGGTTGGGCAACTGATAAGGAGGTTCCCCGTGTAGGGCAACTTAAGGGATCCTTGTAAGGATTCAGGTTCATACTACGGTTGATGATATAATACATCCTGCATTATCCATAATAAGAAATATACCATACTTCCCATAGTTTAGGGTCCTTAAAGTAATGCAGGATCTATATCATCAACAGTATGGTCCTCTATCTTCCGAAACTACCATGCTGCATTGAATCTGAAACTAACTAGACTGTGCAGGATTATAAATACCATGTAGCGCGCATACCCTGTTTGGCTAGGTTCCCCAGTAACCCCTTAATAATAAGGGTACCCTTTTCTTAATATTCGGTTTTAATAAGGGGACCCCAAACTAAAAGGGGCAAAAGGGTACTACTGGGGCACCTAGTTGGGCTCCGACCGAGGAGCGATACCCGGACCGTTGTAAACGCTCTCGAAGATTTGATCGAACTGGTGCGCCGCAGTGTACGACAGCTCGTCCATCGGGTGTCCGCAATCCTTCTCGATACCTTGGGCCAAATTCGACACCCTATGTAAACCCAAAGTCCTACACCCCAGACCAAAACCCGACACCCTAAACCCTAAATTCTAACAAACCCGAAATTGTAAACCCTACGCGCCTGCAACTTCTGGGTGCGGTATGCTGAGCTTGGTGTTTAGGGTCAGTTTCGCTGAGCGGGCTTGCAGCCCCCATCTTCATCCCCCTGTCACGACTTGTCTATCAACCTCGTGAGAAGGCGAGCAGCTCGCGGAAGCCCACGATCTAGGCTTTACCCTCTAACGCTAACGTACTCCTTTTCGAGTCCCGGGTTAGATTGAAGGCGGGCACCTTCCAAACCTCAAGCAAAATCAGCGAAGACGGGCAAAGCTCGCTGATCCCAACTCTGAACACCGCCAAAACCCAATATGCATCTAAGATCCTTGAACGCCGGCCCTCTCAGTCTCTGCAAACTCTACTTTAAAGCCTTCCCTTAAGCCACTCATAGAGGGGCTACAATACTGACACTACAGTCTAGTATAATATATCCCGAAACCCTACTCTAATTCTTGAGGCCCCCCATATTGATCTTGCATCCCGCCTCCCCAGTAGAAGTTGTCGCCCACATTCCTTGGTCCATGATCGCTGCTAGCAGGAGAGAAAAAATCCTTTCCTGGGCTGTCTGTCCAAAACGTCAGGACCCCACAAACCACAAAAAGCAAACATAATCCTAAAACTTCAAGAAGCCCTGAACCCCTCAAACCCCCGTTATATATATATACATATAATCCGCATAATACCACAATAAAACCCCGATTCAACAGATAAAACACATATTGAGACTCTATACAGACCGTATGGAAGCCAAGATTCAAAGGCCTCTAGACCCTAAACCCTAAACCCAATGCCCTAAGCCAAGATTCGAAATGGCCCCTAGGCCCCTAAACCCCAAACCCTGATTCAAGATTCGAAATGGCCCCTCAACCTTAAACCCTAAAGCCTAAACCCTAAGCCAAGATTCGAAACGACCCCTCAACCTTAAACCCTAAAGCCCAAAGCCCAAACCCTAAACCCTAAGGCCTAAGCCAAGATTCAAAACTACCCCTTAACCTTAGACCCTAAAGCCTAAACCCTAAACCCTGAGCTCTAAGCCAAGATTCGAAATGGCCCCTAAACCCTAAACCCTAAACCCCAAAGCCATTCTTCAAAATGACCCCTTGACCTTAAACCCTAAACCCCCAACTAAGCCCTAAGCCCTAAGCCAAGATTCAAAATGGCCACTGGGCGGTTTTGCTCTGCTCTCTTCTTGAAGACCTTGGCAACCAACTGCTGCGGCTGCGTGTCGACTTGCCTCAGTTTCGGGTTTGGGGGTTTGGGGGTTTGGGGGTTTAGGGTTTAGAGAGTTTAGGGTTTAGGGTTCGGGTTTGGGGGTTTAGGGTTTGGGGGTTTAGGGTTTTTGGGGGTTGAGGGTTTAAGTTTTAGGGGTGCGGGGGCCATTGGCTTAGGGCTTACGGTTGGGGGCTTAGCGTTTAGGAGTTTAGGAGTTTAGGCGAGTTTAGGCTTTAGGGCTTAGTAGGGCTTCAAGGTTTCATTTCTTTGGCGCCTCAACCTAAACCTTCAGCCCAACGCTCAAAACTGAGGTAAAGCCTAAAACCTGAAATTTAGGGCTTAGGGGTTTAGGGCTTCACGGTGAGATCCTCAACGCCTAGGGCCTAAGCTAATAAGCCTGACAACCGTACTGAAACCTGGCAGGCATGAAACGGTTTTCTGCAACCCTTATACCTTTCTATCATGAAGCCCAAGTTTTCAGGGATGGACGGAACCTAAACCCCACACCCTAGACCCTAAGCCGTTCCCAAAGTAAACTTCTGTTGTCCCAGGCGCTTGTCAAAGCCACAGCCCGCCGGACAGCCCCACGTCCCCCAGGTCTTGTAGCAGTTCAGAAACCTGGGCTTCGCTTGCCATCTCCGTTTCGATTTAAAGAGGTTCAGGGGTTTTAGGGGTCTGGGAGTAGGGGGAGAGAGAGAGAGAGAGAAAGCGCGCGCGCGCGAGAACAACAGAAAAACACTTCAGAATCTGAGCCAAATAGATCGCCAACTGCGGAATTAGCAACTGTTCATGATTGCACATCATGAAGTCGTGGTTCTTGTTCCAGCGAGTCCGAGGGAAGGGCGTGGGGCCTCACAGACAAGAGCGAAGAGGTGCTTCTGACCAGAGTTCCTAATCGGCTTAGGGTTTAGGGTTTGGGGTTTAGGGTTTGGGGTTTAGGGTTTGGGGGGTAGGGAATATGGATGTTAATGGCAACAGCACCAGCAGTAGCCCTTGTCCTCGGAGGATCAAGCACAATGACAATGGCAGCAGTAGTAAACACTGATGATACTCCAAAACCAGGGATGATGCTGGATCCTAAACCCTAAACCCTGGACCCGCGGCCCGCATTTAAGGCCCAGTGAGGGGACCCCCATACTCAGAAACCCCAAAAACATCTAAAGAACTGCTCCCCTTGAGTTCTCCTTCAACTGGACCTTTCGAAAAACACCCCTAAACCTAAACCCTAAATCCCTAAACCGAAACCCTAAACCTAAACCCTAAACACAAATCTCGCCTGGCTTTGGCAGTCCATAGCCCCACCAGGGCATCAGCGGGTCGCGGCCCTGTACGGGTTTCAGCATGGTGTCCATGCCACCCCAGTCACCTTGAGAGTTTGGGGTTAAGGGTCTACCCGGCGAGCCCATATATCTCCAAGCATAGCAAGAAGCCTTTCCGGTGTGTTGGGTTTTGGGTTTAGGGTTTCGGGCGTAGGGGCATTCTTGAAAAGATTGTCCTTAAACACTTAGAGGGTTTTGGGCTCCCCGGCTAGGGACGAGCGTTGTGGGTCCATGAGCCCGTGGCGCAGCGCTTGGCTATGTTCAGGATCCATGGCCTTTTGGGGGCCGGTTTGCAGGGTTTGGCCAGGAAAATAGCACTAGCTGTCCGCAGGTGACCTTCCTTCATGTGAAGTGTGTTTTGCGTTTGATTTTTTGGGGGTTGCATATTAAGCCGACTGCAGAGCCAACTTGTAACTCTCCCGACTGCTATGAAGCACCTGTTTCAAAGTCATGCAAGCCACCCATATATATATATATATATATATATATACAAAGGGCTTTTGGAGTAAACGAGCGTCTGCTATCAACATCCCGTCAGTAGCTAGGAGATCGACCTGTCCCAGATCACGGTTCAGAGTTTAGGGTTTAGGGTTTAGAGTTTAGGGTTTAGGGCTTAGGGCTTAAAGCCCGGGTTCTGGGTTTGACTGGGATGCAGGATTTTGCGGTGTTGAACTCGTAGTGGGGCCTTTTGTACCTGAATAGGAACATTTATAATCATATAGGGGCCTGACTAATTGCCTATACAATTTTTTGTGCTCCTCACTATAATTATAGTAGAATGGGCCCCAGAACACTATTCTAATTATTACGGCCCCTATATTATTGGAGGATGCCGGGAGATGTGGGACTCCCGGATAGGAAGGCGAAGACTTCTGTAGGCCTCTCCGGCGGTCTTTGGTCGGCGTCTTGGCATTCAGCTTACAGCAACCCCAGATCCTACCTGTAGCCGAAAAGACCTACCCTTTTCGGGCTCCTGATTATGGTTTCTGTATAGAGTTCCTTAGAAAAGTAGGTCTTTTAGGCCAGAGGTAAGCCCTAAAACCTCCCAAACTTAAAAGGAACCAGGGGTTTGAGTCGATTAGAGGACACGAAGCCCGTATCACATCGGCGACCACCTCGGCTAGCACACTGCCAGCCAACTTCTTTGAGAAGCCTACCTGAAACTACCACAACCTGCTTTTCTGTAGGTCCTTGTTGTAAACCCTAACACGGAATTTATAGGGACCCTACAAAAAAGGTAGGGTATGGTACTTGCCAGGACCATTCCATAGGGCTCCATCTTGTAACGGTTTAGAGTTGAGTGTTGAGGGTGTCGTCTAACACACCCCCCAACCCTACTCTAATGATTAAGGCCCACATACTAAACCCTTAAAGCAACCCTCAAAAGGACCCTTAAAGGAACCCTATTCTAATGCTTAAGGGCCCTGGTTTAAGTTCTGACGAGGGCGCCGATGGCGAAGATGTGGTACGGAGGCGGTGTAGCGATCTTGACCTGGGTGTAGATTTTAGGGTTTAGGGTCTATTACGGGGTTAACCTTTTAGGGTTTAGGCTTTAACAAGATATGAACCATATTGTACTCTATAGATCAAAACAATTAACGCCAACCTAGACCCCCACCCCAATTACCTCCATTACACCCAAAAGACCCATAGCTGAAGACCATCAGGGCTCGGTCAAGGGTCATTACCTTGAGGACCCCTGGAAACCCTTACCCCCTGACACCCTTTCCCGGGACAGAGAAGGGGTCCCAGTCACCAGGGGCCACTGCATACCGTTGTAGTCCATTGCCTGCTTGGGCGGCTTGCACCGAATGTCCTTCGGTACGGTGGCTCATCTTACGACTGGCTTACCATTTACAGTCTTTGTTTGGGCCCTTGGAGTTTAGCACTGTGCGGCTTTGCTGCATTCGGACTCAGCATTTCGGGGGTGTATAGGGCTTCAGGGCTGTTTTAACTTTGCTCTTGTCCATGCTTCGACTTAGACTTAGTCTGTTGGGGTGCAGATTTGTAAAGCTTGGAGTTCATGGGGTGCAGAATTCATGCTTGGAGTTCAATTCCGCTGCCCGCTACCCTGCAGTCCTTCGATTCTGCCGTGCAGTTCCGCGGTCGCTCCGGGAAGAGGCACATGTGGCATGGCGGATAGGTGCAGTTGCCTGGGTTAGGCCCCTACCCTAAACCCTAAACCCTAAACCCTATATTAAACCCACCTGAAACTACCAGAACCTGCTTTTCTGTAGGTCCTTACTACAAAACCCCAATGTGGAATGGAGAGGGACCCTGCTAAAAAGGTAGGGTTTCCTAGGCTCAGATATAGTATCAAGCGGAACGGACCAGGTTCTTGGGACCTGGGTTGCAGGGCTCGAGAAGAGTCGCTAATGTCGGGGCCTTAATAACTAGAAAAGAATAGGGTTTTGGGGTAAATTATACTTTAAGTATCATTATAATAAGGCTTAATAAGGACCCCCAAAAATTGTATTTGTAGTTATTTAGAGCCGTATGTTAAAAAAAAGTCCGCCGAGTTGCAAGGAGGCGCGCCACACTCCTGGGACAGGTTGCCTTTCGGCGGTGCGCACCAGTAGAGCTTCTGGAAGTCGTCCAAGGTGGCATTCTCTGGCGCCACGTTCCCATACTTCCCCATGTTGAAGCGCACCTCGTCCAAGAAATCCTTTGCCTTCTTCGAACTCGAGTTCGTCTGCGAGAAGGCCCACTTCACCTGGGCAGTGCACTTCTTGTTCTCCGGCGACTCAAGGGCGGTGCAGTAGTGCGCCGTGTGCTGCGGCTCGTCCTGGGTTGCTGCTAGGGAACTTAAGTTACTAAAATGAGGGAAGCCCCATTTATTTACTATGGATCCCCATAACCCTAAACCTTATAAACCCTATAAGCCCTATAAACCCTATGAACCTTATAAACCCTATAAACCCTATAAACCCTATAAGCCCTAAACCCTGTAGCCTAAAGCTCCTTATAACCGCAACCCAGCATCCGGGTAGTAGGTGATGAAGGGATCCTCACCGGCTTTCTCCTCGGCTCTGGAACCAAAGGAGACCCTCTGGCAGTCATGAGAGGCGAGAAGCTGAGGGTCCACCCGGGCCCCTTTTTTTTGATGTACCTATACATACACATGTATGTCTGCATATATACTTATACACATGTATGTAAATATATATATATATGTATATATATGCATTATATATATATATTATGAACATATTATATATATATGTATAAATTATTATTTTGATTGCCATTATGATACTAATAGAATATATATATATATTATACATATATGTATATATTGTATATTATATTTATTATAATATATATAAATATATTTTATAATATATTATTTACATATATATAATATTATATTATATATATTATATATTATAT